GAATACTAATATTCTCCTAACACTCCCCCTCAAGTTGGAGCATATATATCATAAGCACCCAACTTGTTACAAAGGTATTTCACCCTAGAGCCCCCTAAACTCTTGGTAAACAAATCAGCCAATTGATCTGCAGACGGTACATGAGATGTCTTGATGACTCCATCAAGTAATTTCTCTCGAATGAAATGACAATCAACTTCAATATGTTTTGTCCTTTCATGAAACACTGGATTAGACGCAATATGGACAGCCGCCTGATTATCACACACTAAATTCATAGGCTGTTTATACTCAAACCCAATTTCAAGTAACATGCTTTTCAACCAAACCAACTCACACACAGTGTGAGCCATAGCACGGTATTCAGATTCTGCACTTGATCTGGAGACAACTGTTTGCTTCTTACTCTTCCACGACACTAAATTACCACCAACAAACACACAATATCCTGTGGTCGATCTTCGATCTGAGGCAGAACCGGCCCAATCTGCATCACTATATCCTTCAATATCAGTGTGTCCATGATTTTGATACAGCAACCCTTTTCCAGGAGCACCCTTAAGATACCTGAGAATCCGTATAACAGCATCCCAATGACTAGTACGAGGGGTATCAAGAAATTGACTCACAACACTCACTGCAAACGAAATATCAGGTCTCGTTACAGTGAGATAATTTAACTTACCCACAAGTCTTCGATATTGCTTAGGATCATCAAGTAATGCTCCTTGATCTCTTGCTAATTTCACATTGGGATCCATAGGAGTATCCACAGGTCGGCAACCTAACATCCCAACTTCACTCAACATATTGAGTACATATTTCCTTTGACATAAATAAATTCCATATTTAGACCGAGCTACCTCAATACCCAGAAAATACTGTAAATGACCTAAATCTTTTGTCTGAAAGTTTGCCTGCAGATTGGATTTAAGTTTCTGGATCCCCACAACATCATCACCTGTAATCACAATATCATTCACATAAACAACTAATAAAATTTTACCAGCATTAGAATGCCCATAAAATACAGAGTGATCTACTCCACATCTCGTCAAACCGAACTCCATGACCACACTACTAAACCGCCCAAACCAAGCCCTTGGAGACTGTTTCAATCCATATAAGGATTTTTTCAAACGACAAACCAACTGCGAATTCTCCCCCTGAACAACAAATCCAGGAGGTTGTTCCATATATACCTCTTCTTCCAAATCTCCATGCAGAAATGCATTTTTCACATCCAACTGATGCAATGGCCAATTGTAAGTTGCTGCCAAAGAGATAAGAAGGCGAACCGATGTAATCTTTGCAACAGGAGAAAATATTTCTAAGTAGTCTACTCCATACACCTGAGTAAATTCTCGAGCTACCAGACGAGCCTTCAATCTATCAATAGAACCGTTAGGCTGCACCTTTATAGTGTACACCCATTTACAACCAACAACAGGCTTACCTGAAGGACGAGGGACAAGATCCCAAGTACTATTTTGTTCCAAAGCAGACATCTCTTCTTGCATAGCTAATCTCCAACCAGGATGATTAAGAGCATAGGTAATAGACTTAGGAATGGAGATAGAATCAAGGGAAGCAACAAAAGAAGAATATGACATAGAGAGACGAGAATAAGACACAAAATTAGAAATAGGATGGGAAGTACAATGTCTCTTACCTTTGCGTAAAGCAATAGGAAGATCTAACTCAGAGGAGGGCGTCATACCTGAATTTGAAGATTAAGAGTTAATTGGTGAAGTGCGTGGCATATCAGGAACTTTCTCAACCATGGAACGACGAGAGTAAACTTGAAGATGAGGACGAGATAATCGAGCTATGGAATCTGGTGGACTAGATAACTCAGGTAATAAAGGGGAAGGGACTGGTAAAACAGGAGAAGAAAAAGAGGGACACTGGTCTAACTCACAAGGCATACTGTGTTTGATAAAATATGGAGTAGATTCAAAGAAAGTAACATCAGCACAAGTAAAAAATCGATTTAAAACTGGACTGTAACATCTATACCCTTTTTGCGCTCGTGCGTATCCTAAGAAAATACACTTAATAGCACGAGAATCTAATTTATTCACCCCGGGAGTAAGCTGATGAATAAAGCACACACATCCAAAAATACGAGGAGGTAATTTAAACACAGGTTCATGAGGAAAAAGAATGGAGTGAGGTAATTGACCTCCAAGAATATTAGATGGCATGCGATTAATTAAATAACATGCAGTTAGAACTGCATCACTCAAAAATTGTTTGGGCACATTCATGTGCAACAACAGTGTTCGAGCAATTTCGATTAAATGTCCAATTTTTCTTTCAACAACTCTATTCTGTTGTGGAGTGTGAGGACAAGAGGACTGATGAATAATACCAGACTTACTCATAAAGGTATTAAAAGGAGTGAAAAAATATTCTTTCGCATTATCACTGCGAAGTATACGTACCGGCACACCAAATTGATTCTTTATTTCTGCAACAAATGCACAAAAAATAGAATATAGTTCTGAACGATCTTTCATTAAATAAAGCCAGGTAACTCTTGAAAAATCATCAACAAAGATTACAAAATATTTAAAGCCTAACTTTGAAGTGACTCGACTAGGATCCCAAACATCAGAATGAACTAACAAAAACGGTTCAGAAACCCGTTTATTGACTCTAGGAGCAAAAGAAACACGATGATGCTTTCCTAACTGACAAGACTCACATTCTAACGAAGATAATTGACTCAAAATAGGAACCAACTTTTTCAAATTTTGTAAAGATGGATGACCTAAACGACAGTGAATTTCAAGAGGAGAAACAGTAGCAGGACATGCTATCGGACCATTGAAGTTGAGAAAGTAAAGACCATTATGCTCATGCCCTCCACCAATCGTCCTCTTTGTCTTCAAATCCTGAATGACAACAGAATCAGGAGAGAAAGTAACTGTACACTGTAGAAATTTAGTGAGCTTACTAACAGACATTAGATTAAAGGGTAAATTGGGTACGTAAAGAACAGAAGACAGCGGAAGTGATTGATTAATTTCTACAGTGCCTCGTCCTTTAACTTTAGTGGTAGATCCATCAGCTAAAGTAACATGAGGAAAGGGAGTACACTCTTGAAAATTTAAAAAAATTTTAGAGGTACCTGACATATGATCAGTAGCTCCGGAGTCAATAATCCATGAGTCATTACCTTTTTGTGCAAAAGAAGCAGAGGGAAGAGATGCGTGATTTGTAGCTTGGTACTGTAGGAATTTAACATAATCTTTCTCAGATATAGTAACAGTTTTCTGGGACCCATGTGCTGAAAAACTCGATTCAATGTGGTCATTGGTAACCGCATTAACAAACCTTTCAACCATGGCGAATGGCACGTCAAAACAAAGAAAAGGTCAAAACTCGAGATGAACAGCGTGTGAACAGTGAACAGCGCCGCGAACAGTGAACAGTGTCGCATGAACAGTATGCGATGAACAGTGAATAGTCGCGATGAACAGTATCGCGTGAACAGTCGCGATGACCAAAACTTTTGCTAGATGTTTAACCCTAACCCTAGGACTTTTGCTCTGATACCATGAGAACAGGTATCTTGGGAGGAAAATATCTAGTCACAGTATTATGAGTGACCAACTAGTATTTATAGGAGTACAAACCTAACCGACTATTTACAAGAATACCCTTACTAATATATTATCTACAAGAATACTAATATTCTCCTAACAGTCTTGAATCCGGATAATTAGTTAACTTGATAATCTATTGTCAATTAGGGCATTAAATCCGTAATTGTTTAATTGCCTTGAATTAATGACAACTGGCATGATTAGATTTGTATGAGGGGGATACGCGGGCTAATCTGAAATAATCCTGGTAGTGCGTTATTTGGTTAGAATAGGACTCCTCTAATACATAAGGCAATTGAAGAATTAAATCTTACGGGCGTGACTAAGATTATTTCTCAATTAGAGTAGTGATTAACGGGCATACCTTAATCACCGGCACAGTAAGGAGGGGTTGACTGTCATCGCTTGTTTAACAGTTATAACCTATTTGTTAGTAAATAATTAGAAATGCATCAATTAGGTGAACCATTGTTGAAGTTATTTCTTGGCTAGACTTTTAATTATTATTACTCTGATTTTAGTTATTTGTCATTTAATCTTTTGTTGGTTATTTATTTTTATTCGAACCATTTACTTATTGCCATTGCTATAAAAATCCTCCATTGTTACTTTGAACATAAAAAAGAAACAAATATCCCCAATCCCTGAGGATACGACCCTACTTGCCCTGTTTACAAATTAATAATTATTTGTGAAAAAGTCATCACATTCGGGTATATCGAATCAAGTAAATTTTTCGAGAACAGGGTGAATCAAGTAATCCATTGCACACCTAAAGTCCCTACTCCAATATTTGGAATCGGGTTTTGGTTATTTTAATTGGTAAATAGGTTTATTTTTATTATTGCACAGGCATCTATAACCTGTCAATTTTTTGCGCTGTTGTCGGGGACTAGTGTCAGTTATTTGTTTCTTTTTAAATTTATTTTTGTTCTAATTTTCTGGTTCCTTTGTATGCCTCGTTCTTTTCGTACAGGTGAATTAATTTTCGACCCCTAGGTAGAGAAGATTGCGCGTAGAACAAGAAAAGAGACCAGATAACTCAGAGATGAGCAATCAAGCGGTGCATCTCAAAGACCTGAGCCAGAAGTTGAACTAACAAATTCGTTTGGTGATACTTCGAGTGACTCGGATCAAGAAAAAGTGACTATGGCTAATGCACAAACATTAAGGGAGTTCGCTGCTCCTGATTTAACTCAACAGTCTTTATGCATTACTTTTCCAAATTTAAATGATAACACCCCATTTGAGTTAAAATCTGGGTTAATTCATCTTCTGCCATCTTTTCATGGGTTACCAGGTGAGGAGCCTTATAAGCATTTGTAGGAATTTGATGTCGTGTGCAACAGTATGAAACCCCCGAGAATCAGAGAAGAGCAGATAAAAATGAGGGTATTCCCCTTCTCCTTGAAGGATTTTGCAAAAGACTGGCTATACTACCTACCACCAGATAGTATCACCACGTGGGACCAACTGAAGAAAAAGTTCTTAGACAAGTATTTTCCCGCCTCTCGAGCTACAAGTCTAAGAAAGGAGATTTGTGGTATCAAACAACACCCAGGAGAGTTGCTTTATGATTACTGGGAACGATTCAAGAAATTATGCATCAAGTGCCCCCAGCACCAAATAAGTAAGCAGTTGCTCATACAATATTTTTACGAGGAGCTACTTTTCAGAGACAAGAGTATAATTGATACTGTGAGTGGAGGGGTTCTGGTGAACAAGACCCCTCGAGCAGCGTGGGAGCTAATTGAAGGAATGGCGGAGAAATCACAGCAATTTGGTACGAGAGAGGATGTCCCGATACGCAAGGTGAATGAAATAGAGACATCCTCTATCCAACAACAGCTGACTGAGTTGACTTCTTTTGTTAGGCAACTGGCTATAGGAAATGCATCTCAGACCAAGGTGTACGGGATTTGTACTAGTATGGGTCATTCTACAGAGATGTGCCTAATGATTCAAGAAGAAAGTGCAGAACAAGTAAATATGGCCGGTCACGCGCCCACGCCAAGAAAGGCCTATGACCCGTACTCAAATACGTATAACGCGGGTTGGAGGGACCATCCCAACCTCATCTATGGAGGGAACATGCAGTGTAATTTTGTGTCAAATAGACAACAAGGGTACCAGCAGCAGTACCAACCCCGACCACCTCCGTCACCAAAATCTAGTCCATCTCTGGAGGAGATAATGAAACAACTGATGGCTACCACTGCGCAACATCAACAAAAGACGGACTTCGAACTGCATAACATAAGAAATCAAATGAGCCAGATGCAATCCATGCAAAATCAGATGAACCAAATGGCCATAACAATCAACTGTTTGGAGTCCCAAGTCCAAGGTAAATTGCCGTCTCAGTCTGAGTTGAACCCAAAGAACGTAAGCGCGATGACCCTAAGAAGCGGGAAGGAAATCTAAGGACCCGAACCTGTGATCCCGAAGGACAAGGATGAGGAAAAGATCGAGAACGAGTTTGGGAAGGAGGACAACAGTGGCACAAATCCAAAAGTACTCCCCGACCCAATCATTACAGTCAAGATTAACCCGCCTCCCTTTCCTAGCAGGTTGGAGAAACCAAGAAAACAAGATAAGGAGAAGGAGATCTTGGAGGTGTTCCGCAAGGTACAGATTAATATCCCCCTTTTAGACGCAATCAAACAAGTGCCGAAGTACGCAAAGTTTTTTAGGGATCTGTGTGTCAACCGAAGGCGGCTTAGGGGAGATGAAAGGGTCATTGTAGGGGAGAACGTGTCCGTAATCTTGCAGAGGAAGCTCCCACCGAAATGCGGGGATCCAGGTAGGTTTATTGTCCCATGTAGGATAGATAATACTTTGATTAGGAATAACATGCTGGACTTAGGAGCATCAATCAACGTAATGTCTAAATCTATGTATGCTTCTCTGATGCTAGGTTCATTAAAAGAAACTGAAATAATAATTCAATTAATTGACCGAACAAATGCATACTCTAATGAGTTGGTCGAGGATGTGCTGGTTAGAGTTAATGAATTAGTATTCCCAGCTGACTTTTATGTATTTGACATGGATGATGACCATTCTCCCGACCCCTCGGTTTTGCTCTTAGGTAGACCCTTTTTAAGCACAGCACAGACAAAAATTGATGTTAATAAGGGTACTTTGTCCATGAAATTTGATGGAGAAATAGTCAAATTTAATATTTTTGATACAATGGAACATCCTGTTAACTCTCACTCTATGTTTTCTATTCATGATATTAATCCCTTTGTGCAAAAATTTTATGAGTTTGCTTGCATGGATAAATTCAAAGTTGTTGTGAACAAGTATCAGGGGATGAAAGCAATTTATAAGGTGAAAAGGAATAGAAAATTAAGAAAGAAGGGTACACTCAATGGCTATTTGGATCCTGGAGGAGGGCCATCGATTACAAGAAAAATTGAATTACATCCAAATTGAAGAGTGGTGTTTAAGGTCTAGCCAAAGACGTTAAAGAAAGGCGCTCGTTGGGAGACAACCCAATTTCTTTTAATTGTTTGTTCAGTTTTGTTTGATAGATTAAATATGTTTTCTTTGAGTTTGACTGATTTCTGGCTTCAATTTTAGTTTTTGATGACTCGTAGGTATCTCTCTGACATGACGTGCCCGCGTCATGTCGTATGGAGAGCTCATGGTCAGAAGGATTTTCACCCTCATGACGCTCCCACATCATGTTGTATGGAGAGCTCATGGTCAGAAGGGTTCTTGCCTTTTTGATGTGCCCGCGTCACGTTTGCGGGAAAGATAAGTATTCAAAACTCGAAAACAGTTTTCGATTTCCTGTTACTCTCTAATTTTAAATTTCGAAAATAAGTTTTGTTCATAATAATAAAATTAAAAAAAAAAGGAAAAAATTTAAAATTTAAAAAAATTTAAAAAAATTTTTAAAAAATTTATTGAATAAAAAAAAGGAAGTCTTTCTGTTTAGCTATCACTTTTGATTTCCAAAATTAGAATTTAAAAAAAATTAAAAAATGAAAAAATTGATGAAAAAAAAAAGAAAAAAACTATTTTGTTTTTGTTTTTGTCTTTTCTTTTTCTTTCTTTTCCTTCTTTCTTTCTTTCTTTTTCTTTCTTCCCTTCCTTTTCTTTCTTCCTCTTTTCTTTCTTTCTTATCCCATGTTTCTTCTTCTCTGTCGACCAAAGACCCTTTGCCCGCCGCCATCTCCTCCCCTCCTTGCCATCGCGCGCCACCTTGCGCGCGACGCTCCATCACGTGGCCGCCCACTTCTCCTGCGGTCGACGCCGCCTTTTCCTCACCCCTCTTCTCTCTCACTCGCCGCCAGCACCAACCGCACGACCACCACCACCTCGCGCGACACAGCCCAACCGATGCCGCAACCATTCCCACTTCTTCCCTTGGAGACCAGTGAAAAATTTGGCAGCGTTTATGCACCATGCGACCTTACACCTTAGTTTGGTTTTCACCTACCACTTTGACCCAACTTCAGGGAAGTTTTATTGCCTTTTCTCCTACTTTTGATGTTTATTTGCTACATTGAGGGCAATGTATTGTTTAGGTATGGGGGGGGATCAGTTGGGGTGCTAGTTTTTCTAGTTTTAGTTTTTAGATGTTTTTCCTTTATTTTTAGTTTGTTATTTGTCTATCTTTCGTTTATTTTCTTTCTTTTTAATGATCAGCTCTAATGTGACTGCCAAGGTTTGATGTTGGATTGTTGCCTCTAATTTCACTATTGCCGAATTTTAATAATAAAAGTGTATCGAGATAATGTGATTGAGTCCAAGAACATCTCTTTGGTGAATATCGGTGATTGCTTGACTCTTTTGATATTTGGTTAACTTTTCCAGGCTTAAGGAATGGTTGTTGGCATTTTCATGTGAATTGATCCAATATTAACTTTAGTTCTCCATATTTGAAGAAATGAGGCTAGTAGCTGCTGTTTTTGTTTGTTTTTGATGTGTTACCTTGAGTTATCGTGTATTTGGATGTGAATTAAGGTTGACTGTACTTCGCTATTAATTATTACTGAGTAACTGGGGATCTTCACCAAAAGTATCGATTCTCGCGTAAAAAAGCAATGATTTCTATGAGTACGTGGTCGTAAAGCGATAGGAGCTAAGTAACCGGGCTCTTTCATCTGAAAAATGTTGGAGTTCGCGTCAAAAGACTCAAATGGCTAAAGACTAAGTCTTTTTGTGCTATTTTAAACAAAAAAAGAAAAAAAGAAAAGAAAATAAATAATTGATAGAAAAAAAAACAAGAGTATAGGTTGTGTTAGTTGGATAGAAGTCAGCTTGCCGACTTATGGATATAATGTTGAGATTCTGGTTAATATTTGGACCATTTACTGATAAATATTGTGCGTCATTCCTTTCTCTTAGATTAGTTAACTTGGAATTGAAGGAGTTTGTGGTTTGAAAGCTAATCGAGGTGATATTTCTCGGATTTTGATCACTGATGTTTGATATATGATTTTCTTGGTATCTTGGTAATATGATAGATAGAGTAATAGCCATTGTCAAATATTGATAGACAAGTGCCAATTTGACATGAAAGGAGTCCAAGTCACAGAGCTTACCCCTGGGGCATTGTTGGCAACGGAAAAACTTGGGCCCATTTCTGTAATTGTTGAGGAAGAAAGCACGGGCTGTAGTCTTATTCCCTTGGAGGGGCCGCCGCACAGGAGCGAAGCTTTAGAGTAGCTAGATATTAGATAGAAACAAGCGCAGAGAACTAGCACTACTTTGCTGGCTTAGCCTTTGACTTTTCTTTTTTGTTTAGTTCTTCGTAATTTTCTTTTCATTCCTCAGATGTCAGGAGCAATTAGGAGATTCAATCATTCTCTGTGGAAAATTGGGGTGGGGTGTTTGGGTAGATAAGTCCCTCGCAGGACTTCAAAAGTTGCCGGCTTTTGAAGTTATTGTGGGGATTAGGTTTATTTGCGAAAAACTCTTACTTTGGTAAGAAAATGTGGAAACAAGAAAATCAGCTCAGGGGTTCGGGGGGTAGTTACTTCCTATCAGCGGGGGCCCTTGTGGGGTTTTCTATCCCACATCGGAAAATTGGGGTGGGGTGTTTGGGTAGATAAGTCCCTCGCAGGACTTCAAAAGTTGCCGGCTTTTGAAGTTATTGTGGGGATTAGGTTTATTTGCGAAAAACTCTTACTTTGGTAAGAAAATGTGGAAACAATCATTCTCTGTAAATTTTGTTTTCCTTTCATTTGTTCGGACGAATTGGGCTTTCCTAAACGCAGATAATGGCCGCGACTTTTGCTTCAATTTTGTATGGGTGTTTCGCATCAAATATGAACTAATTTCCCCACTCTAGTCAAGGAACAACGAAAGCTTTGGTTCGCCTAAAAATTGTGAGATCGATTTAATTTTATCTTTTTCTTTTATTTATTGGTATTCGCATATCCCTTGATTGCAGTATTTATGATTATTTAATTAATTGATTGTCTTGAATCTGGATAATTAGTTAACTTGATAATCTATTGTGAATTAGGGCATTAAATCCGTAATTATTTAATTGCCTTGAATTAGTGACAACTAGTATGATTAGATTTGTGTCAGGGGGATACGCGGGCTAATCTGAAATAATCCTGGTAGTGCGTTATTTGGTTAGAATAGAGCTCCTCTAATACGTAAGGCAATTGGGAAATTAAATCTTACGGGCGTGACTAAGATTATTTCTCAATTAGAGCAGTGATTAACGGGCGTACCTTAATCACCGGCACAGTAAGGAGGGGTTGACTGTCATCGCTTGTTTGACAGTTATAACCTATTTACTAGTAAATAATTGGAAATGCCTTTGCATCGATGATCAATTAGGTGAACCATTGTTGAAGTTATTTCTTGGCTAGACTTTTAATTATTATTATTCTGATTTTAGTAATTTGTCATTTAATCTTTTGTTGGTTATTTATTTTTATTCGAACCATTTACTTATTGCCATTGCTATAAAAATCCTCCATTGTTACTTTGAACATAAAAAAGAATCCACAGTCCCTGAGGATACGACCCTACTTACCCTGTTTACAAATTAATAATTATTTGTGAAAAAAGTCATCCCATTCGGGTATATCGGATTAAGCAAACTCTTCGGAAACAGGGCGAATCAAGTAACCCATTGCACACCTAGAGTTCCTGCTCCAATACTTGGAATCAGGTTTTGATTATTTTAATTGACAATTAGGTTTATTTTTATTATTGCACAGGCATCGACAACCTGTCACTTAGGATATCAAGCCAAAAGAAAAAAAAAATCTAAACACCTGTGCAACAAACTTTCTCCATCCATCAAATTAGCCGTACTTTTGCAAAGGAAACCTTGGCATTGTGGCTAAAATTGAGATATCAAGAATTAAAGATCCTAGGTTCTAATTTCCTGCCCCTTTCCACTTCTTAGATCTTACCCTTACTTGCTAGGAAAATTTTTCAAATTAGCGGTACTTTTAAAAGTCTAAAGAAAGTAAAATATTCTAAACTTGTTCTTTTCTATTTTATCTTTTATTTCCATTCTAAGTATTTAACTATTCAAACTGATCAGAATGAAAAATCAAAGAAACTAGATGACAATTTTGTTGAGCAATTTTTACAGTTCTTTATCCAACTGGTCTCACTTTGCAACTGCTCCTTCCTCTAGAGAAATTAATGACAATCAATTTAAGATCTTCTGAGCTCGAAATGGGTTGTTCAGTTTTTGCATAACGGATTTCATTAGAATTTATGATGCATTTTAACCAGTGACCTCACATATCAAAACTCTTCTTCAAGAAAACACACTTTTTTTTCTTTCTACTTTAAAGATGTTATATTTTGTCAACTTAATCTTTTTTTCCTTTTTATTACAAATATATCTGTTCTCTACAATTTAAATAGACAAATTGCATCTGTTTTTAACATTGGATGTAATCCATCTCTTTCCACTATACATTTACAATTTGAAAATACACCTTCATGTTTTGAAGTATTTTACCACAATCTCTACTACTACAATTGAATGCCCTTAATTTTTTTGAAAATTATTAAATAACGTATAAAAAATTTAGCTTTTTAATATTGCCAAGCTCTTGCCTCCTCATTTTTCAAAAATACTCTATCTAGCCCCCCCATTGTCCTCCAAAAGTATTGAAATTTTTTTACATTTTCCCTCACTATTTCTAAAATAGAACCTTGAAATATAACATAATGCAATTTTTAATTCCTTTCTAATAAATCTTATTTACTTAACATTGAACTTCATTTATGTATCCAAGTGTATGAATTGCAAGTGAACCAAATAATTCTTTGACAGTTTAACCGCGTGCAGGTAGTCTGCCTATTGGATAAGTTAAAATGCATATTTTTAATTTTATAAGTAATATTAACAATTCTGCAATCATACCATTAAATGACCTGGTAACTACTACACAATCAATCACAAACTATATAAATTTTTTTATGGGATTTTCGTAATGTTCAATAAATTTGCTCATATGTATTAAATTTATTATGATAAATGCTTCTACCAAAAAAGTCACAAACCACAGGTTGTGAGTTGAATCTAAAATAATTTATCCTCCTGTTGCTACTTCTTTTGTTGAGTTACGTTGTTGACGAGGTTCTACCATACACCAAATTTAATAAAATCTAAATACATTGTTTTCTACAAGTATACAGATCATATATATCGTGTACAGGAATTATTAGGTATCGATCCCACAGAAAAGAATGTTAATTACTGATGGTTTTCAAACACTTTTATTAGTTAGACT